TGGATTCTTTGTTTTATATGCTTTTGTATTTTATTGGCCAGTATTTTGTTAAGGATTTTTGCATTGATGTTCATTAGGAATATTGGTCTGTAGTTCTTGACTCTTGTCGGATCCTTGCCCGGTTTTGATACCAGAGTTATACTAGCTTCATAGAAGGAGTTTGGGAGTGTGCTGTCTTTTTCTGTGTTCTGGAAGAGTTTTTGTAGGATTGGTGTTAGTTCTTCCCTGAATGCTTGGTAGAATTCTCCTGTGAAGCCATCTGGTTCAGGGGATATTTTATGTTGGTAATCCCTTGATAACTTTGTCTATTTCGTCTATTGCTATAGGTCTGTTGAGATTCTTGACATCCATTGGGGTTAGTCTAAAGATAAGGTGACCAGACGTCTGCTTTTGGCGGGACAGTCCAGATTTTTGGCATTTTAGAAAAGTCCTGATTTTTGGAAAGAATGCACGACAAGCTAGGGAATGGTCTATTTGGTCCATATAGACCAAAATTTTAATCAAGAACCCCACCCCTCTGCCCCCCATCAATGGTGTCCCGCTTTAAATCTGGTCACCTTATCTAAGGAGGGAATGTTTTTCCAAGAATTTGTCCATGTCTTCCAGGTTGTTGAATTCATTGGAGTATAATCCTTCGTAGTACTGTGTAATTATCTTTTTGATTTCAGTAGGATCTGTTGTAATGTCCCCTCTTTCATTTCTCATTCTTGCTATTGAAATTTGTTCCCTCATTTCTCTGGTTAGGTTTGCCATTGGTTTGTCGATTCTGGTTATCCTTTCGAAGAACCAACTTTTAGTAGCATTATGTTTTCCCACAGTTTTCTTATTTTCCCTCTCCAGAATCTCGGCCCAATTTTTACTATTTCTTTTCTTTTGCTATTAGTAGGATTGCTCTGCTGACTCTGCTCTAGTTGTTGTAAATTTTGTGCCAGCATATCAATCATGAGTCTCCCTTTTTCAGGTGTGCATGTATTGCTATAAAAGTTTTTAAAGTGAATGTATTGATGTTAAGAATCCGTCTTAAAAGGAAGTAGAGTGAAACTAAGACTATAAGCTACCTTGAAGCATTAGAAATAAAGAGCCTCTTTCTGCATATCTGTTGCTGAAGTAGGCCATGCCCCCATGTGCTTGAGCTGTGTGAATTAGTGTAGGATTATCTTCTGGTTTCACCCATGAGAGAGTATTAGTGTTCCCCCACCCCCACCCTCAATATCTTATCTGAAATTCCAATGTCCTGATTATTGATGTGACTTCCATCATCACTTGGCTCATAGTAAATGTATCCCTCATTGTCAATTATTTTTATTATAGTTCCCCCTTCTGCCCCAAACTGCCAAATCCAAGGATCCCAGGATATCGGCAGTGATGTAATTCTGCTCTGTAGCTCAGAAGAAGGCATTCCTCGACCCACTTATCTTTGGGAGAAGTTAGATAATGCCCTCAAACTACCTCCAACAGCCACTCAGGGTATGTACAGCATTATTTTACTCATTTGATGAACCATCACAGAAAATGCTGACTTATCTAAGTTCCACAAAATAATTAATTTTGGTAGATTTTGAAAAACAGAGCTTGCTGGAGATAACTTCTGAAAATGCTACCTGGATCATGTTGTGTGTCAGACTTCAAAGGGAATAAAACATTTTCTCTCTTACTGTG